AAGCTTTTTGCCAAACAAGAAAAACTTGTTCAAAGTGCGCAAGTACTCTATGAATAATCATTCTTTGTAGTGGTATATGTGTGTGAAAATTTTCTCGACAAGGCAAACTACGTCTTGAAAACCATATTGTCATTCTGCGACCAGAAGTTTGTCAGTTAATTCAACCCGTATGTTTTATACACTCATAGGTAACCGACCAACAGTTACTTCCAGGTTGACCGGTCAGTTTGGGCCCGTCGTATAATCTGACTGAGACGACACTGGCTTTACTCTACTAAGCCTCTCAGAGGATTCACTCATTTCCTCATCTGAACTCCACACCTAGTCCCTATTTCCAAATGAATCAATAGTTGATGGCTGAACAATCATGCAAACTTACGGAAACGGGTCATGGAAAATGTGTCTTTCTAAATCGTGTCCGACATCGGCTGGCGGTGAGACACCTGCCCGTGTGGCTGTCCTCGCCACCCCTCTTCAAAATTGCAGCAAATAAACCTAAATCTGGCTCTTACCATCAATCTCAAGTTCCCTTACACTTCTGAGGTGATTAATTAACGTGTAGTGGTGATTCAGCTCCCCATCAAAATACATAAACCTTGTCTTGGGGAGATGTTGCTCACACTTGAAGTCAGACGATTCCTCAAGTCCGATGCAGTCACTATGTACATTAAACGTTTCAGGCAGACTTACAGTATTCCTAACCCGTGAATCATCATATGCCTTATCCTCGAGTTCCGACAAAACATAACGTGATAAGATTTTCAACCCTACTTCTCTTTCTAGCCCGCCCTCATTTGACAGAGGTTGAGGTGTCATGCCAACGATATAGCTACTCTCAATACATGGGCCGTGCATAATGAAATCACCAACATTCTATCTTCATCGCCGACAAGCAGCGTTTTCGAAACCCAGTTACCTCCGGCGTGCAGAAAGTTTCCCCGACGCCTTGGTCTGGTATTTTTAGCTCGTGATCGGTCAATATCGCACAACAGGAAAGCGTCCAGGGTATCAAACAATATTAGAAAGGGAAAATATTCGAGCCATAGATCAAAGGACACAACCAATTGAAGAGTCTGATGTGCGGACTGAATCACCGACCAACGAGTAGCCAGGAGTTACTGAGTCCGAATTGTAGCCGATATAGCTCAAGACATTTGTTTGGATAGTTGTACTTTCCCGTTGCTATACGGGGCAGAGCTGATTGGCCTCAGTTGGTGGATAGGCGTTTGTGCCGAGACCTCGGGACTATCGGACACTCGTGATGTTATTTTAATCTTCGTGACTGGAAACGGAATCCAAGAGGCGCGTTTCGTCCTATTTCGGACTGTCTTACCGATGGCATAATGTGCCATACTTTGGTTTTTAGAGGGGAGGGTACTGGGCTCCGGCCCCAGCGCGAACCGCATCACTAGTCTAGGTGCATGTGCATCTAGCTGACTAACCTAGGGCAGGACGAAACACTCATCCTGGATTTCACTGCTAGTCGCTAAGGAGAACATAACTCCAAGACACTATTGAATTAAGCTGTGAGAGGAGAGGTAGGCTTTCCGGTTGAGACTAGTGCGACAAAAGACATTGGTGGTCAAAAACTCTTGATGGCATGTTTCATGATCGATATCTAGGTATTCATGCTCTACCTTTACCTTGACCGTCGTACCATGTTCGGCATGCTGTCATCCCTCTTCATGCCTTTTGGTGGCTCTCTAGCATTCAAACTGCTTTCCCTTTCATTTCCCTGGGTTTCATGTTGGTTCGATATAGCTCACCGTGCTGATGCGTAGCTTGGCAGTTTGGCTAGCTACACAGTGATCCCGGTTTCTATGTAGACCGCACCCCTCTTTCCTGCTGCTATGGCTCCTATAGCCTCTTATGACTATTTTTACGGTATATCATGTCCAAACGTCAGCTGCGAAAGGGTGAAAAATTGTGTTCAGCTGACCCAGCGCTCTATATTCGGGGTACAAGAGGTGGGTGCCATGCCCTAGTAGCCCAATGGGAAATGTACTGGCTTTGGAAGTGTTGGGTACTGGGCTTGAGTCTCGTGGAGAGCATCAGCCACTGAGGTTCAGGTACAGCCAGCTGATGAGTCACAAATAAGCCTAAACATGCCCCTTAAAATTCTACCGCTGGCCATCAAGCAGACTGCAAGTGAGTTTGATGCTTAATCATGGTCCTTTCATTAGCTCCTGACCTTCCCAAAATAAGGTTTCACTTGGTACAGACATTCCACCGTCTTAGAAATCTAGCGATGGGTATACTACGGGACAACGCAAGTAGGCCAGATATGCACGTGCTGACCTGTTGATCTCGTTGACTAGGCCACAGGAATTTAAGCACCGGCGGTGGTTCACATCATGTGGGTGAAACCGGTCGACAGTATACGGCAACAAATCCACCTCAGATGATCTGGTTGCCGCGGGTTAGCTGAATTTAGCTCTGGGACAGCGAGGATTCTGTACATTTTAATCAGGATGATAAGCTTGTAAACCGTTTTCAAATTGTTTGGTCCACGTTGACGTTTCTGACAACCGGTCGATTTTCTAAATACCCAGCTGTGGTTTTAATGGCATTTCTGTTAGAAATCACCGGGCCAGTATCACATGTCATGGTCTTTAGCACAAAACTTCCTTGGACTGATGAAATGCATAGCTGAACAGCGTGAGCAGTCGTAAACCGCCTAGAGTGATCTTATATCTCCTTGATGAAAGCGATAGTTATATGCCGTTGGGAACAAATACTTTTAGAAACTGTCCTCATCCGAACTTGACAAAGGCTGAGGCCAATCACCGATTGTCCCTACTTGTAACATGACAGAAAATGTGAGACCAAGGGGGTACACAATGGCGTAGTTAGTTGGGAATAGGATAGTTGGGAGGTCGTGCTGAAATAGCGATGCGTTCTGGTTAGCTGGCTAGAGGGTAAACCATGAGCAGAGCAACCTAACGCGACAGCGTGTCAACATGGCGTGGATGCCTGAAGGTGCACCTTCAGCCCAGCGAGTCCGATCAGGTTATGAAGGTCAGCATCAGTGTTGAATCTGGTCGAACTCTGGGCTATAAGTTTGGTGAATTATGCGCCGCTACAGATCACTCCCCCTGGTGGTTTCGTGGGGGCTGTGGAGCAATGCTAGCCAGTCCCCAGTGGTTTCACGTCCGGCACCCTTCTCCCGGTGGGTTCACTGAAAGGGGTAACCATTGGCTGTCTGAAGTTATTCTAGGATGTCACATTATAAGCCGATTGCGATCCTCAGCCTGTTTTAACGTTCAAAACAGTGCTCACTGGGCCTGGAATAGAAACGAAAGTCTTCGATACGGCGAAAATGGTAAACTTTTACGTGCTACATGTTAATGAATTAAAGTCGAAAATAGGTTCGCTTCTGAATTCTAGTTCGTTTGTCGTGGAATGCATAGCATATGGTAGCAAAAATTGGTTTATAAAAGATGAAACGTAGAAAAGGTTCCTCGTCAACGGTAAGGACCGCCCCTCGAAAAAAATTTTGAAGCCAGAAATAGTTGACACTGTCATACTCGCACTGGTTAGTTGAATGTGAATCAAATAATTTGAGAACCTGACTGCCCAATCTGATCGTGTTTTTATCGTGCAGGAGAATGTAGCGTCTGTGCACACATTTGTGTCCTCATGCGATCTACTAGACACACTTGTAGCCTGAGGGTTGTGGACGACAACTGGTGAGTCAGCTCAAAGTCCTTTTGAAACTGGGCTGGTTCGAAAAGATCAACACCTTCGAATCGGTCTATTGGAGCTATCCTGGATAGTGTGCTGGCCACAAAGTTATCTGCTCCCGATATGTGGCCGATATCTGACTTGAACTGAGACATGTAATTCATTTGTTGCAACTCTCGTGGGGAGTGCTTACGAGATGCTGAGCCACAAGAGAAAGTTGGTAGTTCGCGGTCCGTGAAAATGAAGCCACAACTTCCGCCCGAATGTCAAAAATGACGTACAGCGTAGTACATATCTAGGAGTTTCCCACCAAATTTAGTTAACCTTGTTTCTCCCTCCTGCATCCACCTCGAGGGAAAGACTAAGGGCTGACACCGTTAATCGGTCGTCTGCAACGGTGCTTTGATTGCTGAGTCAGATGCATCAACAGCAATACTCAGAGGCGCATTGAAATTGAGATGCATAAGCATGGTTGCATTCGAGATGGCTTCCTTGGTGTTGGGGAAAGCAAACCTACCAACGTCGTCCAGAATCACGCACTTCGTAGTCCCTTTGAAGTAGGTCTGTGAGTGGTCTCGTAACAGAGGCACGGGTAGGAATAAACCTTCCCTAATAATCTATCAGACCAGTGAAGATTCGAAGCTGCTTTACAGTGGTCGGCTCTGAATAGTTCATGATAGCCGTCACACCACCTCCATTCCTGCAGTTTTATTTAATGTCTTTATATCTTGTTCTAAAAGTATGTTATTACTTTTCACTTAGCCAAATGATCTGTGTGGATGAATGTGGTCATTATGATTAAAATTCAGACTCAGCTTCCCACTTCTGCACGTTCTGGGAAGCCTGCGTTGCTGCGATCTTAACATCATAGAGTGGGCATGGAGAAGCCAGATTCAATCGTAGTACCAACAGAAAAGGGATTGATTTTGTAACTATCAGGATCTGAAGTGTGCTGGGAGGCTGTTTCTTCCACCGTCTTTTGGTGGGCGTAGGCCATTTCCACAGACAGTTCGCTTTACGTACAAGACCATATTTTCCTTATTTCTTTGTCTGAGTACAAATTCCTGCACAGGAAAACGTGTGATATGCTGCTTCTAAGCATAAAAGCTACCTAACTGATGGTACCAGTCATATGAAAATACGTGCTTGAAACTACTTGGGGGGACTTGTCTTCCTGCACATTGATAAAAGAATGGAATCGCTACACTGGAATCAACTAAGAACTTGAAGCCGTTCCAGAAGACACTGAAGCAAGTGCAAGGAAACTATTTCTTTTACGTAATCTCATTAAACAGGTATTGGGTATTGAAACCCTCACTCCAAGTTATACGCTACAGTTTTTTCTTAAAACCAGTGGTATGTTTGGAAATGCTTTATGGTATGGTTATCTTTTATGCCAGTGAATTGACCAGACAAAAAGGTTAAAAAATCAGGTCATATTTTACCACTCATCCGCCGCATTTACGCTTGTACTGGCATTGTAAAGAAGACACACTGACTTCCTGCTATTTTATGATTTTTTCACAAGTAAAGTGTTACTAGTCAAATGCTAGCTTTTTAGACACATATAGGCTCATACAGCCAATCTTAACTTTTTGAATCCTAATTAGGGAGAATATGTTAGGGAAATGCAGTGGCAAGTGGAGGCAAACTAGCAAGAAAACACCAATATTTGCAGCATCATTCTCATTATTTCTTCTTTGACCCATTTTGTACTGTGCTCCCGTATTGTCTCAGCTGTACATATGCCTAAGTTACTCCTAAAAGTGTGTAATGAAGCTATGTCTCACTCTAAAATAATAACTGAATTATTATGCCACACAGCTGGCAACTCTGCTATAGATTAAGTTAGATGAAGTTGCGGTAAAAAGAATACGATACACTGAGAAGCAGGATAAGTCGGTACAGTAGTCAGTTATGCTCTGTAACTCCTATTGTTTTCACCCCGTGTAGAAGTAGAAATTAATAGAACCTTTTAGTCTTCATTCATTATAAATCGCCGATTCTATGTTGTGTAGTAGAGGATAAACGGCTGAAGAACGAACACACTTCCGAAGATTTACATCCACTTTCGTGCGATTGTTACGCCTGTTCACCTTATTCTATAAGTCGTGGGAAAATCTGTTGTTGGTAGCGTTTAGGGAAATTAATATATCCTTAAACATGCATGGACTGTTAACGCCAACAGCTGAACGACTATAAGTTTGAAATTACAACCTACATCTCATGTTCTTGCGTAAAGGGAGTTTGCTGATTGCAGCTTTGGTCATCGTCTGTAGAAAAGCGTGACTTAGCACCAATTCTGAACAGATCATAGGTGAAATCGTCACTCGTAAAGATGACTTTAAGTCAGTGCAGCTCGCTAATCTACAGCATATTAGTAGTAATAAACGAAAGTATTTCGAAATCTTGTGCTTCTTATTACATCTTGGTATCCGCACATATTAGTTTCTGGATAAGGGAAATTAAAAGTAGTAGTCATCAAAAGACAAATGCTGTTTTCATCGTCTCGTCATTGCCTTCGTATAGGATAGTCCCTGAGACACCATCTTCGTATTTTCGTGCATGGTATCTGTATGCCTGAAAGCCTATTGGTCATTTCAAGGATATCGTAATTGTAAACTTCAAAGTAGTCAACATAGAATCGAACCATGATACGGCTTGACTTCCTATGTTAGGATCTAAAGTTTTGGTCCAATATAAACCAGGCACATCTTTTGCTAATCGGGCTTCATTCGTGGGTGAAATTCAACGTTAAGGAAATGAATAGCTAAGTAAGGCGGCCATTGGTTATGCACTTACTAATGTCGCATCTCAGCTGGTAAAAAACCTTTCTCCGTCACTCAATGCGCACAACTTATCTGGGAGTTGTGAAGCAGATGATAAGACTAAGGCAACACGTTTCGGGAGGAATATGTAATGACACTTTTAGCCTAGGCTACTAGCGTTACTTGTGATATGTTGGCTAGCAATGTGGTCGAAAGGATACTTACATAAGAAAATGTTATGCAAATTTCATGGAGTAGATTTTATGAACTTCAGGCAAATGTTTGTGCCAGTGATATTGCTTCTTCGTAATTCTGTGCAGATATTCTCTTTTCAGAGAGTATGAGTTACAGGAGTCCATGTAGCCTCATAACTGACTGACACTGAAAATATACAGATATTACATGCTTTAAAAAGTCCAATAAAATAAGCGTATGGATCTCACCTCAGTGTTCAAACCGAATTTACCTTTAACAGAAAAATTTTGTTAGGTGTATATGATTTTTACTTAATCCCTGTGAACAATCATATCTTGCGTTTAATTAACTGCAGACCAAGTAACGATCAATGGATATAATAATTATAATTCTGTGGTCATTTTAACATATCTCACTCCTCACGAAAGTCTAAATCTTAGAGAAATTCGCAGTATTTCGCGTATAAAAGGAACAAGAATTTTCGCACCTTTACCCCGCCAAACAACACACCTGCCTCTGATTGGTTATTTGAAGCTCACTTGGCGAGTTTCTCATGTTCCGCATGATTTTTCGTTCCTACTCTAGGCATAACGAGTTGGTGGTGTTCAGCACATTAAAAGAAGATTTCGGATGAAAAAAAGTTGGCATATTAAAAGATATACACTTTCTGGGTGGCACATTTAAGCACCAAAATGTATTCTCTAACGTTTTATAGGGCCATTCACTCCACAGAAAATCCGATTTGTAAGTTGCGGTTAAATGAAGATTGTAATATATGCACTATTTGAGAAAAAACTAAGATTTTTCGGAGCAGCTTTTTAGGGTTTTACGCTTATATGATGCATTAAATCGTGTGTATCGTTGTCAATGATCTCTGTGGTTTGAATGGCTCAGTGACAAAGTCCTTGTATTCTGATGCAATATCAGTTGGAACTGAAAGAATTTCTTGTTGATTCCTGGAATGGTTTTAGGAGCTTTACGTGAAACAAAGGAGAATTAACGAAGAAAAGAGCAGGCACTTTGTGGCGTTTCCTCTTTCATCCATCTTCCCATTTTCTTTTCTCTCCCGTTATTTCTCCCCGATAACCAGTCAGTTCAGAGAGATCAACGCAAAACTACTCTTAAAGTATGTTTTCTGCAATATTTTACCAAATGTTTGTAAAGGGAAAAACAAAATACTAGTGGTCGGACATACGGTAAATAACGTTACAGGAAAGGTTAATTGTCAAGTGCATTTGTTGACATGCAAAACTGGCTTCTAATGATGTCCAAAAACGGAGGCGAGATAATGTGCAAGTCGGATGTGATAATAGGTTACACGGCATTCGAAATGTGTATTTCAAAGATGAGCTTAGTAGTTAAGCAAATTATTTAGAAGATAACCTTATTTTATTGTAAATTTTCCAGAAGTAGATTGACGTTATTCCTCACATAAAGGTTCATCGTTCCATGCATATCAACTGATCGGCAGTAGAAGTGAAAACCAAAAGCAAGGTTTGCTAGTGGAAAAGAAACAACTGATTCAAAGCAGCAAGATATTTTAGCTTCCGAAAAAGATGAAGGGTGTATATCCTCACCACTATAATTAGTTTTTCCTACGCTGGATGATTAATTATCACTTGCCCCATATAAGCTGTCCTCCAGTGCGATATCTGACACAGCTATCCTGAAACTACGCGCACCTTTTAAGCTCGCTATCTTCAGCGTTCACACCTCGATGCTGATCGGAAAACAGGCAAGTTTGGCTAGGACTCTGGAGAGCCCCGCTATTGGTGTATGTTAGATCTCAGAGACCCGCAGACAAGATCCCAGTGAAGTGTCTTGAATAAGTTCCCCATCTGTCCACTCAAAAAGTATGTTTCGTGTGCGCTTATCCGAAGACCCTGTGGCATCGGCGACCGACCTCGCTGGTGTTGGTGTCACACTAAGCGCTGGGGCCGAAGCTGCACTACTTGACTGGATCCTCATCAAGAGTAACCTGTGTGTCGTTAGGCTAAAAGGTTCATCTCGAGTAAGAAGTAACCAGCTAGAGAAACGATGTCTTTTTGTAATCTCTGTCTACTCTCCGATGGATTTCAGCACGTATGCAACCGAAAATGAATTCTGTTATCAACTCAGTGACCTTCTCAATCTTGTGCGTTTAACAGATATCGTAGTGCTGGCTGGGGACTTGGGTGCGCAGGCCGAGCGTCACGGCTCAGAGGAGAAAAGTTTAGGTGACCAATGGAGACTAGTTAGCCGCAGATTAGCTAGTGGTGATCGTCTGCAGCTCTGTGCAGGTCACAACCTATTTCTAGCTAGCACCAACTTCTGGCTCAGGCATCGCCGCTGTGCTACGTGGCATCCTCTCTCCGCTACTTAAGCTTTGACTCAAATGGATCATACTGCAATCAACTACTGATGTCTTATGTGCATACAGGATTGCCGCTACCTTTGAAGCACTTCTCGAGACTCTGATCATGCTTTAATGTGTGGTCGGCTCTTCTTGCATTTTGGTAATCATCAAAACCGCTGTCCTAAACGGGTAGATGCAATCAAATTAGTTGCACCTAACATTGCAGCTAAATACCAATCCGAGCTAGATTTAAGGCTAGCTACCAACCCTCCACAAGTGTAGAAAAGCATTGGGCGCACTTGCGAGATACCATGAAAGTGGTAAGTAAAGCCGCTTGCAGCTTGGAAGGACGTCCTGCTAATAAGCTTTCGGTCTCTGCGAGCTCCTTGCAGCTTCTTGACGTCCATCGGACCATTCCGGTGGATAGCGAGTACACTGGTTCGCGTAATTCTCCTATCCGAAAGATTACACAACGCTTATGCGACGATCATGAGGCCTGGTGGTCAGAACGCGCGTGTGGTGGAAGCAGCAGCTTCATCTAGCAGTAACCGGCAAGAAGTCTTGTGTCGCTGAGATGGTCTGTGAGACAGGTGATACGCAGGTAAACAATCTTCAGAGCCGCCTGAAAGGCTGGGTGAAGCACTTCTAAAAACAGTTTAGCTGAGCCAATACTTCAGTGTTCCCAGCTTCAGTGTTTCGTGCCCCACGGTCAGTTAACAGACCCATCTAACAAAGCGGAGGTCCATAGGGAATTCCATGTTCTGAAACGTCACAAGACACCTGGCCCAGCCAATTTACTTTACCCCCGACTCTTTTTAAGGATGGAGGAACCACTCTAGTCAGGGAACTCACTAGGTTGTTTGACGTATGGCAGATTGAATATTCCATCACTTTGGAATGAGGCTACCATTATACCCATCTTTAAAAAGGGTCTACGTAATGTGTATGACAATCGTCAGGGTACTAGTCTGTTACCAGTCGCATCGAAAATATTAGCTGTTATCATACCTCGCAGACTTTGCAAAACATGTGAGGAAATAATTCGCGAAGAGCAGTCC